GAAAGGATGGAGTGGCAAGCTGGCAGTTGAAAAAAGAGGCAGCGAGAGAAAGAAAGGATAAGAATGTGGTGACAAGCATGCGCAGCTGCTGAAACCTTCATGTTGAACTTTGCCAAGACGGATGCTGAACTTAGACCCGCATGTGCATTATTAATATTGACCACTTACATGAGAATAAAGAAGCATTTACTCACCAACTGACATGCCTGAATTAATCATAGAGCCATACTCAAAGGCATGATGAATTCCCTTTCATGACAAACCTGGCAGTTTTCACTTAAATGACAGATGTCTTCAGAATGACAAAAGGCCACAAGGTCTGTCATTATCTCTGGCATTATCATACGCACCATCAAAGATTCAGCAGAGGACAGGCTTTGTTTTTTTTTCTCAGCAGGGCATTTTCCACTCGCCAAAATGATTCCCTCTATAATATATACATTAAAAGAGGGAAACTCACACATCACCAAAGTGATGTATGAGAGGAGATTGTCTGTGATGGGATTATTGTATGTCGGAGGAATTTCTGCAGTGAAGTCCAGCAAAGGTCTGAACCCCAAAGATGCATATAAAAAGCAGTTACTATAGTGAATTCGGAAGAAAATAAGGGTGTGCTCATGTATTGTATTGTATATTGTTGTGGGTGTATATATATATATATAAATATATTTTGTGTGTGTTTTAAACTGATGTCCTGCATCATGTGGAAGCAGAATTACAAAAGATTCTTCCCACTGGGTAGCAATAACCATGCAGCAGTCAGTACATATTAGAAACACAGATCACAATCAAAAGTGCATGATGCAGTGTCTACAGTCACATTTCTGCACTTTTTTATGTTTTATATTGGGAGCAAGTTTGATTTCTTGCTGTATGATGAAGCATCAATTCTTGATGATACATTTGTGTGTGTATATACAGCATGTGTGAAAGTAAGTGCAGGTCCATCTCTATTCTGATGGGTTACATTAGCAGGTTTGAAGTCAATCAATACCAACACCACCCTGTCTGGTCTCTCTCTCTCTCTCTGCTCCCTCCATCCAGTTCACCGTCTTCATGTTTTATCCTCCATCCATCACTGTCAGACGCACAGACTGTCATGTTCGCAGTGGTCAGCCCACGTTGGAGCCACCACAGCCTGCTGCACAGTACAAGCTTGTCTCTAAGTGTGTGAATGCATGTGTAAATGTCTGTGTGCTCCCACGCACACATGTGTTTAAGTGTTTTGTGTGCGGTCATGGAGCAGAACATGACAGAACAGTGTTACAGCCACCTACTGCAGTCCACACACTGCTGTGCTGTGACACCGTCAGGTCCTGAAGTAATGTCTGTCTGAGTGCATTGCAGATGTTAAATAACACATTAAATGCATCACTTTGGTAATGGGTTAAACTCTTATTTCCCCAGAATGTGAAATTTCCAGAAGCTAGGTAAAATATGAAACTGAACCTTACACTAAAACCTATATTTAAAAATGTACCTGTCATATTTAGCTCAAATGCCAAGCGCAGACACAAAAAACAAGGATCGGGACCCAAATGTAGACCTCCAGGCAGAACAGGTTCTGTGTAACGTGGTATATTGACAATAAACACAATGTGAACAAACTTACATCCGCAGTCGAAAGGCAAAACCCAAAGTCCAGAATCCAAAATAAAAACAATAATAGAATAGATAGAATACTTTTCTGTTCAGCCAAGGCTGGAAAAGCATCTTTAGTGTCACCAGACAAATAAAAATATCCTGGTACATCAATGCTGCACATCTCAAAACATCACTACAGCAACACAGTGTACAATATGCTTTCTATGCAGAAAGATGCAGATTAGTGCATCTTGTTCATTAGGTTTATTAGATTAGGTATAAAAGATATCAGAGATCTAATCCTAATCCAAACAGATAAGACAGGCAAGAACCAAAACACAAAATCCACAGAATCAAACATATGGACATGGTAAGGTGATTAACACTAAACAATATAAAGACACAGACTTAAATACACATTAGGGAACAAGGCACAGGTGAAACTAATCAGGGAGGAGCAAATAATCAAACAAGCGGTGAAAAGAGACAGGAAGTGAAGTGAGTACAAACACAAGAGGAGGGGTTTAATGAAATAAAAAGGGAAATAATAACACATTGAAATTCAAAACCCTGACAGAGCTATCTGAACATGAAGAGAAAATGAGTTGCAAATTAGTGATTTGTGTAGCTGTTTATATAAACACCATAACTGCCAAATCAAACAAACTGTATTTTTTATGGTTACTTTAAGGGATATTAAAGACAACAAGATTTGCCTAGTCTGGATTTGGCACCCAGAGTTGTTATATAAGTACTGTAAAAAAAAAAAAAAGTGGCTGGTCTTTTTCACAGTTTCACATGTTTTTGGTTGTTTTTTGGTTGTTTGACAAAGCCATTCAGAGCAGCTACTAGATGTGATGACCGTCGGGGAACAAATAAAAACATAAGTCTTTCCTTTCAGGGTCTGATTTAGGTTTGTAGATCTGGATATTTGTTTTCAACCACCATTATCTTTGTCAACTAAGGGCTGTGGCTAACAATAGGGCCATCCAATCACAGCTCAAAAATAATGTTTTTATGTAAATGAGCCTTAAACAGTTTCATTGTGAAGTAGGCAGATAGGAGTATCGAAACAAACGTATCAATTGCGACTTAAATACCATCTTTAAAACAATCACTATCATTTGCTCACACCATACCATACCTTCTATCAGCAGCCAATTTATTTTCAGTGTTGTAACTATAGCTACACGTGGCACAAAAGACACATTTTGGGTTAGTGCCATATTTAATCTCTGAGCTTTTAACCCACGATGAGATGAGGCACAGCTTGAGATCCTCGGCCTTCTTTGGTCACTCCACAGTCTAAGCCAACAATTATTGCTGTTTGAGCTTTTTCAATTTTCTTCTGCACTGTGGTGACCAGCTGGGCAAATCAGGGTCCTTTAAAATATTGTCCATAGTCTGTTTACATTGTGTTCTATGCTATACTCTGTTTAGCTGTTGTTGGAATCATTTTGTGCAATTTATTGTCGTTTAATGTTGATTTTTATTCAGTTTAACATTGGTGGTACTATAATATTTTCCCCTGCTATCCAGCAGGTGAAGGTTTGGACAGGCCTTTCAATCTCCATTATGGTAATATGTGATTGAGGAGGAGGATGTGGATGTGTGATTGTGTGAGGGTCCAAGAAAAACATTGCACACACGACTACAAGTCATGTAGCCACTCAAAAGTACTTTCTAGTACAGTATGGAGTCATTTGAAGCTTCACATCTTAATACACACCTTAACATTTGAGATTTACTGTATTTATAATTTACATACATTTAAGATGCATTAAGTTATTTGAACATAAAGTGATCTTTAAGTATCACTTAAGATACATTGAATTAGGATATTTAAAATTTTAATATAAGAAACATGTAATTACAACTACAGTAAGTGTGGTTGGTAAAAGACAATTGCTTTGAATATATTTCAACTTTTAATAAGCTCATGACAAAATATGACTGCCGTTTGATGTCTTCACATGTAGCACACTTAACCACGTTTAACATCACTAAAGTTTATGATGCATTTGATTGTTCCAAATAATATTTCACTACACCTAATTATGTAGAGAGTGTGCATGTTGTAAGGGTTTTTAAATGTACATTTTACAGCACATGTTAAAATTAGGGTGGAGTAATTGTAGTGCCAGTGATGCTCATCTCTGATTTCATTCTGTTTATGTCTCTAGTATGCATAAAGAAAACAAAAGGTTTATTAATCTTTTAGCATTTAACTGTTGGACAAATTACAGCAAAATGCACGATACACATCATAAAGACACAAAAAAACACAAGGACAGTATTTGCATGGGAATATATGAGTAGGGAGCTTGTTTTTTCCTCACTTAGCTTAGCTCTGCGTCCATGTTCCCAGCTTTCCTCTTTTGTTGTTGTAATTTGGCACCACGGAGCATGTTTTAAATCCTGGGGCTCAAGTTGAGTATCTGCGAGTCAGCTGGATCTACAGAAGGGGCATTCCCCATGGTTTTGAGATAATTGCTTTCTTCCCTTATGACAACCCTACTGAATTTAGATTAGGGCAATAACAAATCTGCGACACTGTGTGCCCTCTGCATTGCATCTTGTCAATAGGCTGTTAATATGCTCGACCCTTGTCTCATTTTTCTTCGGGTGGCATCAGCTGGGCCCCCTCTACAACCACAGCCGCTGCCCACAGGCGGGTACAACCAACACTGTGGCAGATGAGGCCGACAGAGAAAGTCTCATCAATAATGGAGAGCGGTAGCTGGGGGAGTGGTGCAGAGGAATGGTGGTGGAGTGAGTGAGAAGTGCAGCTGGTGTGTTTGTCTCATTTCTTCCAAATGGACATTTTGAAATGATGTTCCCCAGAGGGCAGGCATAAGAGGAAGAAAGCTTTTAATAGCCGATAGCCTGAATAAGTTGTCAAATCCCTGTTTATATATGTGTCTTTCCATATTTGACAGTTTCCTCTGCTGCTCTGCCACCTTTTCTCCAGAGAGCTGGGCAAATAAACTGAATAATAGGAAAATATATCAATATTTAGTTTTAATTCAGAATTTTTAAAGGCCATGCAGATGGTTGTCATACTGTATTACAAGCATGTAAAATACCCAAATAACTATTCAGTTAAAGTCAGCTACATGGGTGTAGTCCTAAAAGACACACCCTAGGAAGGCAAAAACAAAAATCTCATCAATTTCCTGTCTGTCAGTGTCCTCAGAGGAATAGACACACCTAATAATGATCTTTCCTGACATCTGTCCAGATGCAAACAGAAATTCCATCACCGAAGCACTAAGAATGACCCTGTGGCTGTTACAGTGTGGCAGCGTCTCCTCCCAGCTGCCATCATGCTCATTCCCTTTCTTCAATGCGCCTCATTGTGTTAGGAAGAGGAGGCCCATTCTTACACACATCTCTCGTGCTCTTGTTTACTCCAGGGGCCAGGCCTGAGGGCGTGAAACTGTTGGGAGAGTTTGGATGTCACCGCTGACACAGCTTCCATTGCATTGGACCACCTTCAACGGCACGCATCTCTACTCTCCAGACGGCACCAATTAAGGCAGCCTTGAGAGAAAGAGTTGTGACAGTATCCAACGACACAGACGCAAGAAGGGAAAGGAGTACACTGGAGGAGGGGCCTCCGCTTGCTGCAAACAGGCAGAAGACTGCTTGTGAGTATCCTATTGTTCTCATTGTTGTGGGCGAACACATTTCCATACAACTGACCAGGGCGATGCTACCAATTCCCCTGCATTTGATATATTTCCAGTACAGCACATAAAGTTCATAACCAGAAAGTCATCTAAGAATGAATGCAAGGTAGTGATTTATTTCTTAGGAGCTGTGTATTTCTACCCAGAGAAGCATTTTTCAAATATATTAGTATATTTTTTATCTCTGTCTGATACGCAGACACCTGGGCTGACCTTGACAATCTTGCTTTGTTCTTATTTTTCAATGTCACTTACATCCCACATGAACACACACACACAGCTGGCTGATTTATTTCTTATTTCTTTATAAAGGCAGCAAAATTTAAACCTCTCTGAGCATCAAAGGATGTGGTTAAAGGTAAAAGGAGGATGCAGGTGATAGTACCTCCACACCCACTCATCTTTCGCTTCCTGTCCAATAGATGTTCCATTTTTACCAGGAAATCCTGTAGAGGAATTAGGTTCGAGGACATGGGCAAAATGATCTGACAGATCCACTTACCTCTGCTGTCTACGATCCTCCTGGCCTCTGATATTATAAGATGTTGATATGTATGTAAGCATGGGGCACGGGAGCATAAGGAAAAAGGATGGGGAGGGGTTAGAGCTCAAGAGCCGATCCTGCTGATGACAAAGCCAAGGAAATAATGTTAAGGTGTGGAGGCAGCAAATGATGTGATGCGATGAGAGTGTCGTGGGGGAGGGAGAAAGAGTGAGAGAGGTTTTGCTGTTAAATCGCTCGTAGGCTATGTTGTCTCCTTAGGCTCCTACCAAAAAAATATCATGATTTCTTCCTGGTAAGCCAAGGGTGAAATAAATCTAAACCTTATACTCTCATATTGCCTTTTGGCCAGTGCAAACAAACACGGCTGAAAAAAGACAGGTTAGCACACATATCTATAGGACTTACATAAACCAAAGTGCCCTGGGATCACACCACCGGTCGATAGCAGTGCTTCACACTGCACCAAATATTAACCCTCTCATGCATGAACTATTAAAAACATTATCTTGGTTTTTTAAAGATTTATTTTTTTTGATTACTCAAAATTGGGCTACATGAACTTCATGTTGAATCATCTCAGTTTTAACATTTCAACATCCAAAATGTAACAGATTACATAGTTCTAGTTAAAACTGATTTCTTTACAGTATGTGAGTATAATACTTATTCTTATTTTGTGTAAAGGCTGCAAAGCTGTCAAAAGTTGCAAATTCATGCTGTAATAGGCACATTTGCATTGTTATTAATGTTCATATATCTGTTAAATTTCGGTTTTATTATCATATAATACAAATCATCACATCTTTGAAAAATTAGAATAGATAAACTAGCTGGTTACAGAAATCAAACTTAATGCAATCTGACTCCACTGTTGCATGACGTCCACATACATGCACAGTTGGTTTTTGGTGTATAAAAACTAACTACTTTAATTTAGAAAACATAAACTTGTTAATAATACTTTACTGTACATACTACTATTTTGTTTTATCTTGACTTACCACCTTGAATAAAAGTTTTTCACAGATATGCCTGAGGCATTTAGCACATGGCCATCACAGTCAGCCATCTTGGATTAATGAGGTCATCAAGCAATAAATATTTGCAAAACAAGATGGTAACCACTGTTATGTTGCTATCAATCAAAAGAAAATGTCCTCAAATGACTTGGCGAACATAACCATGATATTGTAACCCAAAATGGAGTTAAAATAACTGTCCACAAATGTGGACGCCGTGCATGAAAGGGTTTTTAAACATCCATGCCTGATATTTAGATGAAGGGGTTGATTATAAAAATAAATATTCAGCCTCTGTTCTCAGGCAATGAAAAACAACAAAACAGCTAGAATAAAATGCATCATTTTGTTAAAAGGCATAAGAGAGTTCTTAAATGTGCTTTGACAAACAGTAATCAATTTTTAGCAAACATCCATGGTTCCCAGAAGATGAGTCTTAATGACTGTGGTGATCCACTGACTTCATCAGGTCAAAATTTCATTTTGAACAGTACTTTGATTTATGACTGAAGATAAGCAAAACTAATGACATTCCATCAGCTTCTCTACTTTATGTTTAGTGCTAATTCGCAAGTGTTAGCATGCTAACACACTAAAGTAAATGCTCCGTATTTGTATTTCTAGTCTTCTCGACCACTCAAAGCGCTTTTACACTACATCTGCATTCACTAGTCATACACATTCATACATTGAGCCTAAGTGCTCAAACGGAAACTAACATTCACACTCATTCATACACTGGTGGAACAGCCGCCAGGGGCAATTTGGGGTTCAGTATCTTGCTCAAGGACACTTCGACACGCAACCAGGGGGAGCCAGGGATTGAACCGCCGACCTTCCGATTAATGGCCAACCCGCTCTACCTCCTGAGCCAGATAAAGAAAGATGATGAACTTGGAAAACTTTATACTTGGAGAGCATCAGCTTATTACGTCTTTCTGAGCATGTTAGCATGCTGATGTTAGCATCTAGCTTAGTCTAGCTCAATGTAGCATCTAGCCTGGCTGACTCACATCATGGTGCATGTGGCAACTGTGTGCAGTCTCCTCTGCGGGTGTGTGCTCTCTGTCTGCAAAAATTAATGTGTCCATACATACATGCATGCGGGAGCTCAGTAAGCACACAGAAAAGACGCTGTAGAACAAGAAAAGCTGACTGTGATGGTTTTCTAAAACATTGTACACCATGTGTGATGTTTTCTACTTTCTTTTTTGTTCTTCTGGTCTTGATATGTTGTAATATAATTACTTTTGTGTTTTGCAAGGCAGAAAACAAAATGATTGGCTTGGTCAGTCCCAAACTGCACATTAATCAGAGAGGGTGGACAAATGAACAGCTACACCTCACAATCACATCCAACAGCCCTGCAACAAATTCTATGTTTTTGAAATTTTTAATGTATAGTTAAGCCTATTTTTGTGGAGACAAAAGAGAGAGGTGTTGATTCAAGTCTGTGGTTTGAAGATACAGTTTATGATGTTGTTTTATTGGTCTTTGTTATATTGCAACTGTATTGCATGACATTAAATGTTCTAACATGGAGTATTCCCACAGGCAGCCTCACTTTCGGCGGCTGCCAGGCAAACGGTTTATTAATGTGTGGCTTAAACATGTGAGAAAAGGCCCGATTCCATAATGCCTTTGTGATCATAGTTTTATTTACAATCTTTCCACTGAGCTTAGAACAAATAGCATATGTTATGTAATAATTTATATAGCACTCCCAACCCCTTTAATTGGTGTGAGCTGAATTAGCGCTGACTAATCAACATGGCAGCCTCTCATCCTAGATTTATAGACGGCTATGATTGCTGCCAGGGTGAAATTAACTCTTTCACTCTGCAGGGAAATGTTGAAAGATGCCTGGCTGAAACACACTCCTCCCCACACACTCACGCGCACACACACACACACACACACACTTATTCATATATGCAGATGAGACTTGTCTGTTCCTTCTGGGTGTCTCTGTAGAGCTGTCACACATGCTGCGTCTTGGAGCACCAGGAGACTGGGGTTGACTTGAATTAAACTGAGAGGATGTCCTTTCCAGATCTGCAGAGGGCCACAGAGACACATCCGCCCCCAGAGAGAGCCAGTCAAAAAGACAGAGGGGGAGAGGGGGAGAGCGGGAGAGCGGGAGAGCGGGAGATGAATGGAGGAAGAGAGGAAAAAGAAGGGATTGGAGATGGGGTAGAGATGAGGAGGAAGTTAATAAAAAAAGAGGCAGGGAGAAATTGTTTGTGAGAGAGAGGGATGGAAGATGAGGTGGAGAAAGTGGAGGACACTAGAATAAGAAGGGGGGAGGGAAGATAAAATTGTGTGTGCTCTGGTGTGTGTGTGCTTGTGACAGTTTGACAGAACATAGAGAGAGGGTAAGAGAAAAAGTTCAGAGAAAACACACCTACAATCTTGGTGGTTCAAATGAGAGAATCTGCTGCTTTTCCTTGTCATCACATTATTCTAAATGGAACATCTTTGGATTTCCATACATACATTAATGTTAATGTAAATTTTTTAATTTCACACTTGCTTTGGCCTGTTTTCCATGCCGATAAAGCCCCTCTGAACTAAATTGCGTTGATGACATCACCTTGCGCTCTATCAAACAGTGATGGGCATTTTATACAGACCAAACAATGATCCGGTTAAGCAACTAAATAATTGTCAGATTAATCAGTTGTGAAAAAAGTATTAGTTGCAATCCTGAATTTAATGTAAATTACCTGCAATAAACACTGTTATTGTGAAAAGAAGCAGGCTGAAAAATTTTATGATATTGAGTTAAGTTTTTAAAAAGTACAGTAATATTTCAAAATGGATAAAATTTTGGATACTCATATTATTATTTGTTATTGTGTCATATTTTTCTATTTTATTTTGAACACTATTTTATTTTGAACGCTGTAGGTTGGAGACACGTGTACTCAAGAGCCTGAAAATAAGACTGAAGAGCTTCTGTAATATGGAGCCCCTAAAGTACACAGGTTATTATTTTGTGTGTTCAAGATAATAACTTGCTCACACAAGATAATTAACTTGTACTATACAATTCTAACCACATGGCGCAATTACGTTGCCTGCTTATGGTTATGGGCTGTGTCTAGCAGTTTGAAAGTATAAGTACATAAGTGTTCTGATAACACACTGTAGTCAGCAATTATAGGTAATACAGCACCTTCTGCATATAGAAGAGAGAAAATTCAGATGTTGTACTCTATGTTAGATGAAAAAAAACAACACTTGGTGTACTTTAGTTGTTAATCCTTCTCAGTCTTTATCACAGCTGCAGCATTCCGATTAATCTCCTGAACAATAGCTCACGATACCAGTGTCCTAAGAGCTAAGCATAGGACAGTGCCATCTATATTTAGAATAGATTACAGCAATGTATATCCTGACCTAAGGCTGCAGAGCAGATTTAGAATAGACCA